TATATGAAATGTCTGGAATGATGAGTTCTGCAAGTAGATAATATAGGGTGCTAAAGGTAATTAACATAGTAGAAAATCAGTGTTAGAACCAGATAAGTTTATCTATCAGCTTAGTCCTGGGGGAAATTAAAGGTATCTTAAGTACATCAGCCTGGTCAAAATTCCATAATTTTCCCTGTGAGCTTAAACTTAATGAATTTAAAAATCATTATAGCCATCTCTAGTCCTGCTTTTCCTGTTCTTGGAAGTCTGCAGCAATTACTGAACATAAAAAGAAACTATGATTTTCTGGGATAGATGCAGTCTGTGATGGCAATTGAGTAGGACAGCATCCACACAGGTCGTGCCAAACTTGCAAAATATTCTTTCTTTTAGCACGTTATGCCTTTAGACAAGAAATCAGTGGGAAGAAGTCACATTTCTTCCAAATGGTACTGCAGATTAAAGGTATAGGTAATGTAGTTAGAGCTGTAAAGTCTTAAGGTTTTGTAGAGATGTAGACTGTTCTCTGAATGAACCCTTTTCATTCTTTCAGCTCATCACTGCTACATAAAAGATCTTTGGCTGGAAAATACAAATGTCTTAAGTGTCACTCCCACTCTAGAAATTCTGCTTTCTCTAAGAATACATCATTTAATACTAAGGCCTTAAATATCTTAGCATTTATTTCCTGTGTTTATAGATGTAGTGTATTTGTATATTTATATTTAATTGTATATTTATATTTAATTGTATATTTATATTTAATTGTATATTTATATATACTCTCCTGGATATGTGGACTATATGTCTCACTATAATTCCTGTTAGAACAAGGGATTTTAATCCCTCCTTAAGACAAAGTTGATTGTTTATCCTCTCAAAGTTAGGAAAACAGAGGCAAGTAATCTCAGAGAAAGGAGTCAGAAATTACTCAGACTGCTACAGATCTATCCTTGAAACACAGTCTTTGTGAGGAAGACCTGTCCTCAAATTGGACAGGACAAAAAAGGAACATAGGTGGAATAAACTTCTTACAGAAAAGATTACACAGAATAAGACTGGGAGGAATGATACAATATCTCTGGCTTGAATGGGCAGACTGAGTGACTTCTTGGCTGTGAGAATAGGAAACCTGAGAAAGCAGAAGAAATATCTGAAACCTTAATCTGAGTGAGGACAGGGAAGTAAGGGAGAAGAGTTGCAGCTGTGACTGTCACATAGACTCTGCAGAGTTCAGTGCAGTTACACCTACACCCTTCTGTTGGTGTTCATAAAGCACACAGATTCTACCACTTACTGCTAGGCTAAGATTCTGCCATTTCTCAGTGTCATTTGACCACTGGACATAGCTTATCCTCTGGAATTTGTTCTTCTATTTTCCTTCCTTTCAGGGTCAGTTGGATTTTGATCAAAAACAAAAGAGTAGAGGTGGTAGACACAATAGACTGCAACCAGAAGGGCTCACTGCCCACATCTGGGTGACCTCCATCTTCTTTCTGCTAGCCTATTCTCTATTCCTATCTGTTTCTGGGTCATCCAATTGCTCCAAGAGTTAAAAACAAACCATACAGAATAGAATGACACGTGAATCTGTCAGGTCAGCCTTAAGACATTTTTGCTGTTTAACTTTCCCACAACCATACAAACCCTTCCAATTTATTGGATCATGCCAACTTCACCAAAAGTATTCTTGGTTATAACTGAAAACGTGTATCTCTGTCCATTTTGTTGTAGTTGTTGTTGTTGACTGTAATCTATCCAGATGGCTGATGGCCAGATTGTGTCTGACCTTGTTCTAGTTGCTGGACCAAATCAGTACACTGTTATCCTCTTCCTTCCTAAACCACTGAATTGTAAACACATTCTGTGTCTTCATTCCTGTTATTTGATACTTGTATGACCACTATACTTGTAAGCCCACTGTTCAGTTGATGTAATGCCTTCCAGTTTAAGAACTGCTATCCCAGGAACTAGGTGACTGTGAACAAGGAGTATCCTTGAAGTCACAGATGACTTCTTTGAAGTGCTTGTGTGTACCTAAGAACCAGAGACATCCTGAATGTACCATCCAAAGTTTTCTGACTCAGGTGGTTGGAAGGGATCTCAAGAGTTGATCTTGTCCACTTACCTGCTAAAAGAATGTCCACTTAAAATGGATTGCTCAGGACCTTGACAGTCTAGAACATTTCTGGGCAAACTCTGTGTTTTACCGTCTTCATGGTAAAAAGTACTTTGCAGTTTTTTCTTGTGTTTCAGCTTGTGCCCATTTCCTTCCATCCTTCTACAGTGGAATCTTATTTCATCTTCTTACTACCCTCTGCTCCGGTACTGGTGGTCAGCAGTAGGATCTCCCCTCAGTCTTCTCTTTTTGAGGCTGAACAAACCCAGTGCCATCCCCTCTCCATGGATGTCATGTGATTAATCTGCCTAACCTGGTGACTCAGTTTGATCAGGTCTCTACAGTACTAGGAAACCCATAGCTATCTATACCCAACACCAGAAAGATCAAAAGCACTGAATAACAGGAAGCAATCACTCAGCTCAACCTGCTGTCTACATCCCCTTCATACAGCACAATAGGAGGTTGTTTCCCTTTGCCACAAGGGTGCACTGCTAGCTTAAGTTCAACTTGCTACCACCTGGCACAATTTCCTTTGCCTCCAGTTCTTTTTATACTACATTGACTTCTAGACAACTTGCGTAGTTTTGTGTGCTCATTCCCAGGGCTTTAGCTAGAGTAATTCCTCTTAGTCAGAACTGGACAAAAATGGCAGAGATACAAGATAATAATAACGATAAAATCATTGTATCAGCCATCAGTCATCATTCTTAAGATCTAGATGTCAGCAAGTAGGATGTAGCACCCCTCCAACAAAGTTATCAAAAATAAACAATTTATAATCTACTTCAATGAGATTTCAATGGTGTCAATCGAATACTTGCTTAATTATTGCCTACTTCAATAGAAAATTATTAGATTGCATAACGTTTTGACTGAAGTTGTTGAATAGTCCTTCCTAAGCGATCACACAAACATACTTATTTAGAAACTTGTTTGTTATCTGCTTATTTGACACGAAAATACTGAGTTTAAGCACCAGCCCAAATCAGTACTTACCCAGGAGTTACTGAGCTAAGGCTTTAATTTACACTTCCTGAAATAGCATTTATTAATATCTCTGAGGAGGTACCTAACTTAGCAGGTAAGCAGTAAAGTCTGAGATTCCCTGAATTGCTTGTTAAAGACAAGAAGACCTTTAAGTGCCTTGAATGGAAAGTACAATCCTTACTACACTGTTTGACAAGGAACTATCCATTACATTCAAACACCAGTTTTCACCATAGACTTTTACTTGCCACCACAACTTAGATTTCTTCAAAAAATGCTCCCTACTAAAACACGTAAACATATCTTACGTGTGATTTTTAAACAGAGACAATTCTTTTGTTCTCATCTCCTACAGAAAAATGTCAGACTAATACACATTTTTTCTTACAGTGGTTATTATTCTTGTTTATTACAGCTTCTCATAAAAGAAGCCCTCCAGCTCTTGAATTAGAATAAATTTTCTACGCTTCCAGAGAACAAAAGGCGGATACATCAAAAGACTGGAAGCTGAATCATTTACTAGGTGGCGGTTCCTGAACACAATTCCACAAAAAGATATGAGGGCAAGCAAAGCAGATGTCCATGCAAGAGACATCTGTTGCCCCTCCTTTATCTCACCAGGGCAAGCAAAAGCAGGTATGGTATTTTCAGAGAGTATTAAAAATGCCGATGCCTGCTTATCTTTGTGTACACCTTGGTGACGGAAGTCCTTCAGACTGGCATAAAAAGCAGCAGATGGAGGAGTCTTGTGGCAGCAGAACAGTCCTGTTTTGGCTGAAGGCTGTGGGAATGAGCAGAAAAACAGCTCCAGAGCAGAATCTTGAAGGCCACAGTGCCTGGAGTGAGACTTTTTGCTTCATTAGCCACAAAATTAATATTAAAGTTAACACCCCCCTGTATGACAATGACCTCTTAGAAGAACATGCTAAATATACATGACTGTAGTACTCAACTCTCTGCCGGATCATGTTAAACATCATCCCAATATGGGAAACAAATAAGGTTTAGGATATCAGGGAAAGTGTGTCGTGGGTAGCACAGTGGAGAAGAGAAAGAAAAAGAGAGTGAAGGAGAGAAGAGAGCTAAGAGAGGGGAAGCTGTGTTCCTCTTCTTCCACCAAGACAGGGACACTTTCTTTCTAAGCATTACATCTCACCTCTTGGAGAAGATTATCTGAGATATCATGTATTTTGCTAGCATTATTATCATACATTCACACTATTGGCAGCTGGTGCATTTATCAGTTGCAATAGCCAATATGTTGTGCCTATCCCTTCCATAAATCATCTGTTCTTTTTGAATGTTTGTGAAACTGTCCAGTGAAAGTCCTGAGGAGACTCTGTCAGACAGACATTTGTTAATCTGTCCCATTAAAGTCCTGAAGGGCCTCTGGCAACTCTGAAATACCAAAATAGAGATTGCAAACAATTCAAAGCACAGAACTTTTCAATTTACTTTTATTTCAGCTTTATAAAGAAGGTCATTTTTACACCAATAACTTCAAAAAAATAAACAAAAACCCAACCAAGTCAAATAAGAATCTTTCAACAAATAACTTACAATTGTTCTAAAACACTTTTCTTACTTTGCTTATTTCATTATGTGGCAGATATTGTACAGAAGTGCCACAGAAACGGTGGTACTGGGGTCTATTTAAGCATCCTACACAATTTTAGGTTAAATCCAAGCAGTTAATACCCAGAGCACATTAAACAATATAGGTAATATCATGGCCAAAATGCAAAAATATCTATTTTATACACAATTTTAAAAGCGCTTCATGAAGTTGCATGAATTCTAACTTACATCACAAGTTATTTCAAAGGATGCTTATTGCAGAATACCTGCATCAACAAGTTTACAAGAAACAACATTACTCTGAGGGCTGTGGAAAATGGTTAGTATATTCAAGCTTAAGTCTTGGTTACAGTGATGTCAGTAAAGATTTTGCTACCGACTTCACTGATGCAAAGATCGCTGCTATCCACTCATTTTTCTATCAGATAAAAGGTGTAAAGGTCTGCTGAAGGAGTTACAAAATAGGTAATTGAAAATTATTTCCATGAGGCACACATGCAGTAAGATGAGTTATCATAAATTTCAAAACTACAGCCTTTAGTACTATTCCATGTGAAAGTCACAGACACTGCAGCCAAAGCAAATGAGAACAGAGCAAAGACCTCTGTTATACATTGCTGAGTTCCTTTTTAAGGCCGTGTTACTGTATTCTAGGAAGAAAGACATCCATCCTCATTCTTTTTGGTATCATTTCCCTAGATGTACGGTAGATATGTAGTATCATGTTTTAACCAAGTTATTCAAACGCATTTCAAACCAAATGTTTTTCCACATATGACTTGATGCATAAGTACAGACAAGCTCCAACAGCCATGATTTAAAGATGTTTAATATACATATCTACATAAAATTTTTGATATTCATGCAGCTAAGATGTGCAGTGATGAGTATGACTTCTCAGTATGAACAGATTCAGTGTAGTGACTAGTTTCAACTTGAGAAGCTAAAGATACCTGGGTTTTATTAAAAATAGTAGCAGAATGCTTGACTGCTGAAGTGCATCTCACCAAGTTCGTATTTTTATGTCAGATGTAATTTGATTTAAAAAAAAATTGAAACAGAGCTGAATATAATGTTATGGAAGCCTTTTAAGTTTTGTATTTCAGATCAGAAGTACAGATGAGAAGCATTAGCTGTATTCATTTCAGTGTGGGTGAAAAGTTAACACGCTTCAGCCTTATGCTATTTAATATCAACCAAATCAATTAGGTGTGTTTTTGTTTTTGATAATGCTTTTTTATACCTACGGTATACCAGCTGCATTAGAGGGATGTGATACACTTCCAGCTCACCAGACATGTGACAGCTCCTGTCCAGAACAAACCTTTGCAGTATAACCACGTACATTCTCTCTATTAGCAGTTACTAGCTTGGAAATACTAACATAGCTTTGAATTTCTAGACCAAAATTACCCTTTGTCTGGCAGCCACACTGAGCTGGCACTGCAAGTACTGGGAATAGATACATTCCTCTTAATGATGGCATCTGAAGAAATAAATTACTGAAAAGATGCCAAGCAACTCATTTCTTTAACTGAATATAGCAAAGTGGTGGTACACTTTGTGGGCTCAAACACTAATTTGCTTAAAAAAAAGTAAGGGCACTATAGGCTTTGTCATTTTATCTTTCATTTCTGTTCATTAAATGTAATACAAAAAATGCGAAAATAAATTTAAATCACTACACTCAAATTAAAAGCTCAAGAACTGAGAATCCTTCTGGTAACTGTTCTTATAACAGAAGCATATGCATTTGAGGCATTTAGAAACATTTAAGACGTCTTATGCAAAATAATAAGCACAAAAATTTGCACTAACATGCATTTTTATTCTGAAAAGGTTTTGGAGGCAGATGTGGTGAATTTGCTGCTCACTCTTTCATGTTTCACAATCTCATGACGCTGAGAATGAAACGCGGCCACAGAATTCTTCACATTTAAGGTTCTCAGTTTCTCCATTAACTACGTGAATCTAAGCACGGATTGCTGCCTCGCACTGTCCTGGCAACAAAAGTTACAGCTGTGCCACTTCAAATCAGACTTACAGTTTTCTCATCCACCCTACCTCATAATCTGGAACAAATCCACCATCTGTGAAATTGCTTCTTACACCATATACTCATGGCATTTTGTTCACGGCATTTCCATGCAAGAAATATCTCCCACTGGCAAAGAGCTAAGACAAATGTTCTTAGAAATGATACAAATATTGCTCCAACTCTAAACATACTTAGCTCAAACTTCACATACTCCCTTGAGCCTGCACAGTACAGAAAAATATTATAAATCATGAACAAAACCATGCAAAAAAAATCCAAAAAACCCCAAGACCACCAAACTAACTTATCTAAATAAAATATAAACCAAATAGAACACTAAAATAATAATATTGAATATTATCTTGTTTGGTGTCTCAAATAACATAGCATCAATAATTTTCTTGTCTATTTTTTTTAATGTCGAATTTGAGATACAACAGAGTAAGCCTTAGTTTTCCACCTTCCTCAGATTTTTTTTCTTCAGATACCAAAAGAAGTCTGTGCTCTTGTGACATCTAGAGTGTATATTCATAATTAGTGACTAAGTTTCATATTTCCTTGCACACAGAAGAGTAACTCAAATCCCCAGATTTATCACATTAACATGGAAGTGAAATAATAACGTAAGAAAATGCTTATAGAATATTCCCATTAATGTTTTTAACAGATTATTCCTGGTTCATTTTAAATTGCATGAGATACATCAAAATAAATCTGTAAGAATTATTATTCTTATTACCCAAAATAATCTGTTTGATAATTTTCTCTCACTTTCAAGGCATTGATGAAAATTCACATCATTCTGAAAGCATATTAGATCAAAAAAAAGTGCAGACAACCCAGCTTTCAAAAAAAAACGGTACAACTATTAGGTACAATGCACTTAGGTAAAGTATTGCAATCCAGCCTTAGATGTTAAACCATGGATATGTTGGACAAGTACTCATTTGACAAATAACTAAAAAGCACCTTCTGCAGTAATTTAGTATCTGAGCTTCTGTGTCGTAATTCTACATCAATGACTTCAGTCCTGGACATCAAAGTAGTCAATTATTGGCTCTTCTTTTAATGGTTTGGACAAACCACTGCTTCCACTATTCCTGAAATTATAAGAATAGTAGATATTACTCACTGTGCATGAAAAAAGACAGAAGTAAACTGAAATCACAAATTCTCATAATGTCTCAGTGTGCACTTGCACACTGCGTTGGTAGATGGCAGTTCTAAATTATATTCCAATGAAAATATCTTACCATTTCAGAAAGCCTTTAACTGTGATTTTTGGGAAAACTAAATACATCCATGTGTGGCTGAATTAATCAATTACGTTTTGGCTTTTACCAGAAACTAACTTTTATTAGTAATACTTATTGCAAAAACAATAATATATTGAAGATTAAATTTTCAACATGCCTTTCTAAAGGAAAAAGCAAAAGGAATATTTTTGTAGTGCTCACTGATCAAATCTGCTCATTTTTAAAAGCAAAAAGAACAAAAAATACATCAGTATTGAGTTTCCATAGCAAAGCTTTGGTAGCTGGGTGACTGCAGGGACTGCATTTGTAAGAGATGAGAAGATAACAGAAGCTATTATACAAGAGTCAGTTCCAGCCAGCTCAAAAAGGGAACTGCAGCTTCCCAAATCTGAACCAACAAGCAATGCTGCTTGTACCTCTGTAAGAGCATATTTAAGAAAGGGAAAAAAATACTGTGTGACAGTAGCTGGAAGAGAGGACTGAGAAAATTTGAGGTGAACAACCCTGCTGTCAGTAAAGTCAGTGAAGGAGGAGGAGGAGTGGGTGGGTGTTCCAGGTGCTGCCACAGAAATTTCCTTGCAGTCTAAAAACAGGACCACGGTGGAGCAGGCTGTCTCCTGCAGCTTATGGTGCACAGCTTCAGAGCAGATCTGCATGGTACAGCCCAGAGTGGAGCAGGTGGATGAGGCCTGCAGGCAACTGCAACTTACAGAGAGTTCTGCAATAGTAGACTCCGGGCTGGAACTACAGCCCGTGGAGAGTAGACTGTGCAAAAGCAAATGATATCAGAGGAATTGCTGCTGGTGGGAATCCATGTGGGTCAGTTTATTCCTGAAGGACTCCACCCCATGGTATGAAACCATACGGGAGCAGTAGCTGATGAACTGCAACCTGGGGAAGCTCACAATGGATCAGTTCACAAAGGACTGCATACCATGGGAGGGAACCCACGCTGGAGCAGGGGAAGAGAGTGAGGAGGAAGGAGAGCAACAACAAAGCGTTATGGACTGACCACAACCCATTTCCTCATGCCAAAAAGAGGGAGGAGGTAGAAGAAAGTGGATAGAAGGAAGAAGATGGTTTTAGTTTCCTGTAACTTCTCACTGCTCTAGTCTGTTATCGACAACAAGTTAATCTACCCTGACATGTTTTGCATGTGATTGTAATTGGTGAGTGATCTCTGTGTCCTTATCTCAATCCACAAGGTTTTTTTTCCCCATCATATTTTCTCCTCCTGTCCTTCTGAGGAGGGGGAGTGAGAAAGCAGGATGATGGTGCTTAGCTGCCTGTCAGCATTAAACCACAATATGGTAACATGAAATCTAAACATTGTGAAGATTTTTGTCCTGAGACAGTATGAAGTCTTCCAGCAGATTTTGTTACATAATTCTAAAGAAATTTTCTTACTATTTAAAATAAATGGTGAAAGTCCTTTGCAATTTTGTTACGTAATTCACTTTCACTAAGGTCACTGAAGATAGAAATCCTGCAGAGTTAAGTAGAAATAAAAGGTAACAAACTGCAGAAAATTCATATTGAGTAACACAGTGAAACAGCTTTTTCAGACATATGGTTTGCTCTAGATGCTGCATTCTAAAGCAATTTACATTTTTCTCAGAACAGTCTACTACATATTTCAGCAGCATCTATTTAAGATGCTACTTAATAGCTACTGCAATAGTTAATGCAAAATTAACTTGTCCCTTTCTCCAAATAGTTTTTCAGAGGACAAGAATTCAAATGTTATTTTGGAAATAACCTGGGGAAGACTTCTTAAGGACAAATATGCACAAAGAATAAGCCACCTATTTCCTAACTATGAGATGCCTACAGGTGCCTGAAGCTGGCAGGTCATACAAAGTAAAGACTGTTCTATTAGATTATTCACCAAGAAGCCTTATATACTTCATCTTAAGTAGTTTTCAGCCAGCTGTGGGACTAGTATATCCACTAGAGAAAAATACACATACTCACTGTTCAAATACATAGCCTCTGAAACATCCATATCTTCTTAATTACCTAGTATTTATATAAAGATTAGGTCCACAACATTTATTTTCTTACTGCTTTTATATCACATAGTCAACTCCACATTTTGTTAACACTTCACTTCATGTTTACTTCTCATGGAAAGAATATATTAGTACAGGCTGAAAGCTCCAATGTATCACATGGGTTGGGAAAAATGAAGACCTGGGGACTATAAAGTTGGAGTTCAACATCCTTTCAAGTAACTGAGCACAGAATTTTTGAAATACGTTTCTTACTTATCTGTTTGTTTGTAATGAGGAATGGGAGGTGGAGGCCTGCTCTTCATTTCTTTATCCAGCACAGAAGTTAAGGTATTGCTTGGACAAATGGATTTCCCTCTAGAGAAACAATAGAAAAGGTTATTTTATTAAGTAGGAAGTTATATGCATTAAGAAATTAGAGCAAAAAGGTTATATTTAAAAGTAGTGGTTGTGATGTCAGTGTTTATATCTGTATTTAATCTATAAAAATATTTAATTTTCACAGAATCAGAGAATATTCTCAATTGGAAAGGACCCACAAGGATCACTGAGTCTAACTCCTGTACCAGTACCACCTAAAAATTAAACCATATACCCAAGAGCATTCTGCAATGCAAGGGCTACCCTTTGGTCATGGTGTAGAGCAGTATTTTCTCCAATAGAGGAAGTTTTATCATGTCCCTAGTGAGTATTGTCTGAATCGTGATCAACTTCAGTATTGCACTGCATGTCTGAAGGCTACACTGGCTGGAGAAAGGGGAAGGATATAAAAAACAAAACAACAACAATAAAAAACACAACCAGAAACTGCTTTGAAAGATGGCATGTAATATGAGTAAGTTCCATATAAACTATATATATTTAACATATATATACATTATATAATACATAATATATTTTATATATATATATATATAATAACAGGCTGTGGATAAATCTTAAAATCTCCAATAAATTTATAAATGACTTTCTTAGAGTGAGTTTGCTTTATTCTAGCTTCCAGTCATTTTTGACTTACTTAACTACAAGACTCACAAACCTTCTACTACCAGCATGTTTCCCATTCACAGATCCTTTCTCATCATCTGGGAGGGGAAGTAAACTGAATAAACTAAAATTCTTAAACCTTATCTAGGACAGTTTTTTACCCTTTTTGCAGCTTCCTCTTAACCCACACTACTGGCATTTTAAGACCAAATTATTTAGCAGCCGTGGTACACTACACTACAGTGCTTTCCTATTTCTATAGGAATGCCTCCTCCTCTAAATCATGTCCCTGAGCACCACATCCAAATGGTTTTTAAACACATCCAGGGATGGTGATTCAACCACCTCCCTTGGGAGCTCATTCCAGTGCTTAACAATCCTTTCTGTAAAGAAGTTTGACCTGACATCCAACCTAAACCTCCCCTGGTGCAACTTAAGGCCATTTCCCCTTGTCCCGTCAGCAGTGAGAAGAGACCAGCCCCACTCTTGTTGTAATCACCTTTCAGGTATCTGAAGAGAGCAATAAGGTTTCCCCTCAGCCTCCTCTTTCCCACTGGAAAGAAACACTTGTTTGAAATGCCTATTTATGACTTTATCATTCAATGTAACGTTAGCCTTTCCTATGCTTCTATTCTCTAAAGTACTATTGCATTTGAAATATTTGTGTGTGCATACACACAAATAAAATAGAGGATTAATAATATCTTCAATTAACATATGTACACTCTAAGGTTGTTTACTTTCATTTATAGTAAGTCACTGACTTTCTGAGAAACACATTCCACAGTTATTATATACTGTACGAACCTTCTTCCTGATAATTTTATTTGAGCCTGTTATCTTTTCTGGCAAGAGAAGAAAGAGAGAAGATGCATTCTGTACTTGGGCTATGATTTCAGACACCTTAGTGATAACTCTCCAGTACTATTTCCAAAAAGTTAATCTGTATCACTTAGTGCTCTTAACAGTCTTATATGAAGACTGCTCCAAAAGTAGAGTCTCCTACTTTATTATGTTGGCCCATGACATTAGAGGCAGATGTTGGTAGGATAGCAATAGAGGTTGAACCTTCCTGCCAATATTCCACTGCATTTTGTTGTTGTGTGGCAGATGGTAGGCAAAGGGGCAGTCTGACAAAATGGCACCTGACATGGATGTGCATATGAAGCAAATTAATTCCTCAGTGAGGATAAAATGCATCCCCTGACTTCACTGATGCTAGCTGAACGTTTATGAAGATCAAATTGTGGATGTTAGCACAGTGAGGTAGTGGATGGTGTGTTTCAGCAGTGTTGACAGTGGGTTACTGTCACTGGTACAGTCTTTACAATGCAAGCAAGCTCTTGTTCATTGCTGGCAAAAATGCTAATGGTGGTGACTTTGTTGAAAAATAGTGTTTTGTAGCTGCGATTTGCTCTATCAAATAGCGTTACTGTGCCCTTTGTATCTTTAGTAGTTTCCATGGAAATAAATAGGGCAGAGAAGCCATGGGTAAGGGAATACTAAGAACAAGATGTAACAGATAGAATAAAACCAGTTGAGCTTTCTGTTAACTATTAGCCCTGCAGAAGAAGCTGTTGTGAAATACTTAAATTTGAAACTGGAGCTATCACTTATCTGAGGTGTCAATGACTTTTAATGTCTTAAGAGAACAAAGGAGAAGACAGTGAAAATAACTTTTGGATGAATCCGCTGAAGAAACATTGAGAGGCAGCTGAAAAATATTCCCAGTAGAGCACTCACTGTTATTAAGAACATCAGAAGTAAAACTGTAGCATGTTCGTTCTGCACTGCATGCTCTTCCTTAATAACACATGGGAAGGACCAAGTGTGCAACTTCTCCTAACACCACAGAAGTCTTCCCATTCTAAATTTGCAGCATATGACATCTTTGTTTTTAAAGCGTCGTCATCTATCCCATTCCTTTCTCTAACACTTTATCCATTTCTGCATTAATTTCTCATCATCCCCTAGCCTCTTTCCTTTTTCTTAAGTAAGCCTCTTCAAATGTGATTTATCTTATCAACCTACTTCAGCAGAAACGTGGGTTCATGGAGAGAAACCTTATGGAAATGTCCCACCTCCATTGGAAGTACTCAAGATTCTAGCTACGCTACCAAACCATCAACAGCCTCAGAAGCAAATAATGGCACTCTAATAGCAGGAAACGTAAAAAAAATATTATTATATATTTTTTATTATTAACTATAGTCAATATCTACAGTTAAAAACTAGTTAAGCTGGTTGTTGAAGAACCACAATTTGACAGTTCTAAACTAAAAACTGATAGTGTTAAACTAAATAAACCACTGAGTGACAACAGAATCAAGAAAGTCATGCTCTCTCCAATACAATAATCTTGCTTCACTTCTTCTACTATGAACTTCCTTTTACAGGCCCTCTCCAAGTTTTGCTTAGAAATGTCTTGCAGTAACTCCATCTCCCTTTTTGTCTTTTGTCTTGAGAGAGGATAGGAATTCCTGTGGCAGATTCAGATAGAGCAAATAAGTTCCAATTGCAAGCTTCTGCAAAGAAGGTGCAAATTTAGGAGTGAATTCTGTATCCAGCCGTTAATCTTCATGAAAATTTATTACATCTATTATCTTTGACACTTCTCTCAAATTTAGCTTGTGACAAAAAGACAGTAAGTTAGTGCTGAGACAAGCTTTCAAAAATATTGTTTTCCTGGCTTTCTTATTTTTAAACTGGCTTTTTCTGAAGATGTACTCGATGATGAGAAATAGAAATCTATCAAATTATCAGTTTAAAACTGCATTTGAAACTTTTAATGTAAACTACTGCGTGTTGCAAACTGCACTGCAAATAAAATCATTGAATTAAGTGATAAATCATACACAGTTACTAGAAAACAGAATTAATTACATACTTGACTGCAGTGATAACAACATTACGCTTTGGCTCGTTGTCATAGCTCACACTTTCAATGCCATAAACCTGAGCTAATTCGTGGATGATTCTGCGGTGATCTCTGTTCATTGGTGGGTAACAATGACTCTTCTTTGTGTACTTGCCCTGAAGTTAAAAAGAAAAAAAAATATGATAAGGTTTTCCTTTAGCAAAGTAAGGCAGGTATGAGGAGGAAACAATGAAATGAGAGAGACTGCTTCTACCTTGTAAATTTTGCCACTGTAACAAAAAGTACTACAACAAAATGCTAATAAATCAGTATTGATAAAAACTCACCTAAAAATGACAATTTAGTTCTCACCTCAGAGCATTAACACACATATGTATGTACAAATTCTGAATACATCCTCTCTCCTTATACCCCAAAGAAGCAGGATATTTTTTTCTGAATTTTCCTTTTTCAGATTGCTTTCTTACAATGTACATACTGCAGATTGCTATAAAGGCATCAGATTTAGTTATCACTTCCCTGTACCAAAGAAGCTGTTCATCTGCAAAATCTGTCACGTAATAAAGTCTATTGTTATAGACTTTATCATTATAGACTATATCATTAAAGTAGTTTTAGTTTCAGTTCACCAAGACCGATGCTTGATCTGACACTGGCTGCTACATAAAGAGAAGAAAAACAAAATCAAAAAAATATTTGTCCCTCCATCCTAATGGGTGGTGCGACTTAGTAACATCATATAAGATACTCAATACTTCAGTCTGTTTCGATGACTCAAAACACCCTGTTTCAGTTTTTGCCTAATTTGTCACCTAAAGATATCACAGAATTTTAGGCCTATAGACAGGATTCAAGGGGAAGATAAACTACCAGTTTCAAACAAAGTTTGAGTCAGGGATTGCTAGAGAATTCTGAACCTGTACAAATTTATGGGACTGGATGCAGGGCATTTAATGACACTAAGACATCAGAATCATCTTTGAAAGGTTGTGGAGTTTTGGGTATGAACCTAATGACTGGGAAAAAAAACACACCACTGTGCCTATGCTCAGGAAAAGCAAGAATGACAACAAGAACTACAGACTGATTATCTGCACAAAGCATTTTTAGGCACATGAAGTAGAAGGTCCTTGGGAGCAGCCAATTTAAGAAAGCGTTTCAGAATTTGAACAATCTGGTCTGACTTTATTGTTGGTTCCTGCTACAAGGAAGAGCTTGCACTAGATGACTTCTTTAGGTCCCTTCTGTCCTGAATGATTCTAGGACATTTTCTGACAACCTATACTAGACATTCAAATACAAACATTTGATTAATATACGTCTGGATTACACAATGAGAATTACTCAGAATTACATCAAAAAGTAGTCACAGTACAGATGACATGAGAAGTCTTTTCTAAATCACTAAGATGCAGAAAAGCTCACTTCAGAATCTAATAAAAGGACAATTTTGATAAATCTTAAACCATATGCAAATGTTAGTTCAAGTCTGATTTGGTATTGCCAGAAGTAACTTTGATGCAGCGCTGTGTACTCTTTATTTTCTGATAGTCCAGGAAACTATTACTTTAAACTTCAACTACTTACATTAGGCAAAAGAATAAGTGCTCTTTGAAATTATTGAAACTGCAGAAATCAACACACAGAAATATCTGCCTCCTCTCAAACTTTTCAGAAGCTAAATTATGAATAGTAAACAGACCTGAAATTGTGGTCACTCTTCTCCATGTTTATTACTTTTAAGAGTAATTATATGCAATCAGGATAGAATCTTTACTTATCAATAAGCAATGTTAAACTACTTACCAACTACAACACTTACAGGTTCTAGACCAACGTTTAGATGAAGTGAACTCTATAAATTCTGTACTTATTTCTGACTTCCTTTAGAAAAGTCATAATAATTCTGGGCTCAGGAAAAAAGAAAAACATCAGAATTTTTTCCTATATGCAGACAGAGCTGGATGATATGAATATTTTCTGGCTTGCCTACTTATATACATCAACAGCAACAACTCTGCTGTACTAGATTAGTGCATACAGGTGAATCTAGGGGAACAGACGTTCATGAGGCAAGCAAAGTCATAAAATGACAGATGAGTTTAACTGTATTAATGTGTAGAGTGACCATTCAGTAAAGAAGGAAAAGAACAGAAATCCTTTCTATTGCTCACTCATCCAGTTAAGTTGAAGCTGTATCCAAAGAACAGTGCAAAAACATAAATAAATCAAAGCAGAAGTATGTAAATATTTGTAATGTGTACAAGACATAATACTGATAAAGGCAGAGCTACCTGAATATTTGATGGGCTAACATGCAAAACACTTTTAATACAAGAGAGTAAGCTCCACATCTAGAAATAAAGAATGTAAGTCACATCTTCAACCAGAAAGGATTTAGGACATGGGTGTCTAACCTTTTGGCTTGCCTGGAATGCACTGAGTGGACAGGAATTGTCTTGGCCACAGTCACTCCGAAAGTAATGCCTCCTATTTCCATGGAAACTACTAAAGATACAAAGGGCACAATAACACTATTTGATAGAGCAAATTCTCAGCTACAAAACACTACTGCTCAACAAAGTCATCACCATTAGCTATGCATTTTTGCCAGTGACAAACTAGAGCCTGCATGCTGTGCTCATAAAAATTTGTACCAGGGGAGATAAGCCACTGTTGCTGTTACCACTGCTGAGACACACCACTACAATGTCAGTGTGCTCACATGCACTGTTTGGTCTCCATAAATGTTCAGCAAGTGCTGATGACTGTCAACGGGTGCAACTTTTTCTGCACAGACAAATTCAGTTCCATCCCTTTGCTTCGTATGCACTTTCTTGTCAGTCAGACTGCCCCCTTGCTGTCATCTGCTGCATAGCAATAAAATGTGAGGGCAGGAAGGTTCAACCTCTATTGCCATTCCACCAATATCTGCCTCTGATGCCATGGGCCAACATAATAAAATAGAAGGCATTACTTCCAGAGAAGCCTTCGTAAAATGTATAATATGTTCAATGTATATAAGTAACAAAACTTACTTTAACCTTCAATATTTTTAATTAAAACAAAAAAGCAACAAAAATACAAAACTAGTGGGATATCTGACCTTGTTCACCTAATACATTAATCACTAGTTTGATGGAAATGGTTGCAATTTTAATGAGTTATTAAGGTGATCATCAGAGATTTTTGATGAAATTTTACTCGTCCTGTACTTCATTCTTGAAAATAGCTGTTCACAAATGTATGTACTGCCAAAAAGTGATAATGTGAACAAGGTGTGATTGCAAAGCGAGGAACATTTTCCTCTGTTAAGATAGATCTTATAAAAGTAAAGAGATGTGACCAAATTTTTAAGTTGAATATATGATTGTAACCACATAAATTCCATTTGAAAATATGGATGTAATGTATTTGTGTTGATCAAAAATGGAGCCGCAAATATACAAAAAAAAGCCATGATATTTTTGGTAATCTTGAAATCTGTTCTCAAATTCCTTTATCAGAATGGAAAGCACAGCTGCATATTTTTCTCTGTTCACACAACTGTGTTTATTCAGTGTATCAAAAAGCATAAAATTATTTGCCATAACTTGAGCTGGAACTGCACTGCACCTTCCAACATAGTAAAATAGGAGGCATTACTTTTGGAGCAGCTCTCATACAATATTTAAATATTCTGATGGAACTCCTCAGGTAACTCTTTGATTTGCCTTCTAAAGACTTCATGAAAGAAGAATATTTAGCCTGCATGCGTATGACATAGACTCCAAAGCTTAAGAATTCTGTCACTCGTCTGTTGATCAGAAAAGAAAACTCCTCCCCTCTGAAACATAATTTGTCTCTTGGGGATGACTTTTACCTTGCAAAATAGCAAGTGTGAAGTGCAGATTGTGCAGAACTCTGCCACATGACCCTAAGCTGTTCATCTTGATCACGACAGAAACTTAAACCGGGAGCAATTTGCCTTTTATGTGGTGTTGGGAGCTGTCTTGGGCAAAGCAGTAAGAGTTCTCAATCCCTGGTGAAGTCAGAACAGGGGTCAGCAAAACTGCTATGCTGCACTTCAAGAGGGCAGACCTGAATCTGTCCAGGACATTGGTAGGGAAGGTCCCCTGGGAGTAAGTCTTGAAGGCACAGGAGCAGGCTGTCCCCATGTGCTGTAAGATGAGCCTGTGGGAAAGACCAGTATGGTTGAACAGGGAACTTTCACTGAGACTCCAGGAAAAAAAGAAAAAACGAGTTTACCCCCTGGGGAAGAAAGTACAGGCAACCTGGGGAGAATACAAGGAAGTTGCTAGTATATGAAGGGAGAAAATCAGAAAGGCTAAAGCTTAATGTGAGTTCAATCAGGCCGCTGCAGTAATGGACAACAAAAAATGTTTTCACAAATAAATATTAACAGTAAGAGGAGAATGAAGAAGTATCCTTTACTGGACATGATGGGGAAAATGACCACAGAATCACAGAATCGTAGGGGTTGGAAGGGACCTCCAGAGATCATCGAGTCCAACCCCCTGCCAAAGCAGGCTCCCTACACCAGGTCGCACAGGTAGGCGTCCAGGTGGGTCTTGAATATCTCCAGAGAAGGAGACTCCACCACCTCCCTAGGCAGCCTGTTCCAGTGCTCCATCACCTCACCGTAAAGAAGTTCTTGCGCACATTGGTGCGGAACTTCCTATGCTCCAGCTTCTGGCCATTTCCCCTTGTCCTGTCTCCGCACACTGCTGAAAAGAGTCTGGCCTCGCCACTTTGCCCCCCACACCTTAGATATTTATAGACCTGGATCAAGTCCCCCCTCAGTCTTCTCTTCTCAAGGCTAAACAGACCCAGCTCACTTAGCCTTTCCTCATAGGGGAGATGCTCCAGGCCCTTCACCATCCTTGTGGCTCTCCGCTGGACTCTTTCCAAGAGATCCCTGTCTTTTTTGTACTGAGGAGCCCAGAACTGGACACAGTACTCCAGATGAAGCCTTACCAGGGCAGAGTAGAGGGGGAGGATCACCTCCCTCGACCTGCTGGCCACACTCTTTTTAATGCACCCCAGAATGCCATCAGCCTTTTTGGCCACAAGTGCACACTGCTGGCTCATGGCCAACCTGTCGTCCACCAGGACACCCAGGTCCCTCTCCACAGAGCTCCTCTCCAGCAAGTCATCGCCATCCACTGAAGATAAGGAAAAGGTTGACGTTCTCAGTGCCTTCCTTACATCTGTCCTTAAGAGTCGCATCAGTTATCCTTGGGGTACACAGCCTGATCAGGAAGTCTGGGCTGGGGAGCAGGATAAACTCCTCATAATTCAGGTGGAAACAGTCAGGAGACCTGCTACTCCACCTGGACTGCCACAAGTTCACAAAGCCAGATGAAATCTACCCAAAGGTGCTGAGGCAGCTGGCGGAGGTGATGGTCGAGCAACTTTCCATCATCTATCAGTCCTGGTCCATGAGAAAGGTTCCAGATGACAGGAGACCTGCTAATGTGATCCCCATCTATAAGAAAGGTTGTAAGGAGAATCCAGAGAATTACAGGCCTTTCAGCCCGACCTCAGTGTCAGGGAAGGTTATGGAACAGGTCGCCCTGAGGGAGATCACACGGCATCTGTAAGACAACCAGGCGATCAGGCCTAGCCAGCATGGGTTCATGAAAGGCAGGTCCTGCTTGACCAGCCAGATCTCCTTCTGTGACCAGGTAACCCACCTGACAGATGAGGGAAAGGCTGCTGTCATAGCATACCAAGACTGAAACAAATCCTTTATGCTGTCTTGTGCAGTATTCTCCTGGAGAAGCTGGCAGCCCACAGTTTGGACAGGTATACTCTTTGCTGGGTTAAGAACTGGCTGGCTGGTTGGGCCAAGAGAGTGGTGAAGCTGAATGGAGTTAAATCCAGCTGGCAACCGGTCATGAGGAGTGTTCCACAGGGAGTCAGTACTGGAGCCCATATTGTTCAATATCTTCACTGACGGCCTGGAGGAGGGGACTGAGTGCACCTCAGGTAATATGCAGATGACACCAAGTCGGGGGGTAGCAGCTTGGAGCAGCGACTGAAAAGCTGCACAGGGGAAAAGGATTTTGGGGTGTTGGTTGACACTCAGCTAAACATGAGCCATCAGTGTGCCCAGGTGGCCAAGTTTACTAATGACATCCTGGCTTGTATCAGAAACAGCATAGCCAGCAGGACCACAGAGCTGATTGCAACCCCCCATTCACATCTGGTGAGGCCACACCTTGAGCACTGAGTACTGTGTTTAGTTTTGGGCTCCTCACCCAGCCCTTCTCTGGACGCACTCCAGGGCAATAAGACAGGTGAGGGGTCTGGAACACAAGGAGCAGCTGAGGAAACTGTGATGGTTAGTCTGGAGGAGGCTCAGCTGAAAACTTATTCTCCACAACTACCTGAAGGGAGGTTGTGGTGAGGTGGAGGTCAGCCTCTTCTCCCATGTAACGAGCAATAGGACTAGAGGGACCTCAAGTTGCACCAGGGGAGGTTCAGGCTGGATATTAGGAAAAAATGTGGTCAGGCACTGGAACAGGGTGTCCATGGAGGTGGTTGAGTCATGGCCCCTGGAGGTGTTTAAGGAAAGGGCAGATGTAGTACTTAGGAACACTGTTTAGTGCACAATATTAGTGGTAGGTGAACAGTTGGACTAAATGGTCTTAGTGATCTTTTTCAAACCTTAATGATTCTATGATCCTTTAGGTCAGATAGGGGACGTATTGTCACGACTGATTTGTTTTACACTTTTCATTCTCTTCTCCATTAGACACTTTCAATAGACACTCAATCTGTTTTGTAGAATCTTAACAGTCGTTTACTGTCATGGTTTTTTGATTTTTGTTGTTGGTATTCCACATCATAACATCATGTAAAGCAATGGGAGTTACGGAGTTAATGTTCCAGTTCTGCGGACCACTGTTTCTGGGTGCTTTGTTCATGGAGGCCTGAAGGCAGAATTTTGCTTTTACTAAAAATTATGATTTTTTTAGACTATGATTTTGTCTGTAGTATAGGCCTCTCTAGGTATGCTGGAGTCTACCAGATAACTGTGGTTGAATCCAAGTTTCCTTCTAGAAAGAGGAGGACTACCACATACATCAAATCCTGGAAAGCATTCACAGACTTGTAAGTAATTTCTGCAACGGGAATCAGAAGAACCTAGGGCTTTCATTCTCAAAATCTGAATCTGTGACCTCTGGAGATCATTGAGTCCAATCCCCCTGCTAAAGCCTAGAGTAGGCTACAAAGAAAGGCAAGTTTTGAATACCCATCCACTGGACATCTGCCCTTTAGATATTTCTAAGTGCTGACAGGATCCCCCACCCTATTTTCTCAATGCTAAGAAGTCCCAAGTCTCTCAGCCTTTCCTCCTAAGAGATGTTCCAGTCCCCTGGTAATCTTCACAAGACTCCACACTGGACTCTCTCCCTTAGCACTGACACACTGAAGTATGGCACTGTTTGAATCTTAATTTAAACAAAAAAACAAAACAAAACAAAACAAAACAAAAAACAAACTACCACTTTGCTGTGACAGAAGTGATCCCAATACTGTGCATCCTAACTTTTTTTCTGTTTATAATTAAAAGTACGCATTCTAGAGTCAAAAAATATTTAGCGTTAATTCTTACCACCAGTGTTAAAGCTTAGTAAACATTATTCAGTTTTCTCCCAAACTGGACAAAACTGCTCCTTTTAATAACTTAAGGAATACCCAAATACTGACCTTATTCACAGCTTCTACAAGCATTCTCATCTCCTTCTCAACATCGCTGACAAATTTTATATCTTTCCTGCAAGAACAACATACTAGGTAAATGTGGCAACTGAATGTACAAAGACTTTACTTTTTAACATTATTTTTACCAACAATAAAATTAAAGATCTCAGTTAACTGAGGCAAATACAAGAGTTTAGACTGCACTTCAGTTTATACACAACCCAATTGACATAAATGAACATTTTAAAATGCCATCACTATTACGAAAATCTTGAATTATTTTCCCTCTAAGCCTTGGAAGACAGCATAAAATTCTACAATATAGCACAACTGTTTGACAATACAACTCTAAATTTTCAGATCAGTAAAATGAAGGTTTTAAATCTGTCATTTCAGTGTTTTTCAACTACTTGTCATTAAGGCAATTCACGTGTATTACATGATTAGACATAAAAACAAGTATTGGTTTTAAAAAGTGAAATTATTTTCCAAGATAGAAAAGAAGTGCACTGGTTGGTGAATTAATGAAAACAATAGAAGAATAAGACTAACTGCAAAGAAACAAAATATCCTTGATATGACATATTAAGGATTTTTGTAATTAGTTTACCCTAATTAGTCACAGTAAATTGAATCTGTCAGAGTGAGCTTTACACTCTCTTTTTAAATGAGCAGGTAAACTAACTTCAAAAGTAAGGTTAACATTTGTTAGCACATCATCTTCACAGAGAAAAAGGGTACCTGAAGATTTCCTACTTCAAAGTTAGTCGTAAATAAAGTCACTTCTTCAAAGGCACCACTTCAGAGCAAGACAACATTATTTTGTGAATTACGTCTGAATTTCAATAGACAAGACATGGATGTCCTACAAAGGTAGGTGCTGAAGTGAAGGTATGATCAAAGGATCAAGTGATCTCAAGCAAACATGCAAAATGACAATGTTGAGTAGCTGGTCTACCAAAATCACTAGATCAATGGACTCAGATGCTAAAATGGACTCAGCTATCACTGGAAAACTTCCCAAGTTTTATAACAGGTCCCCATTCATCAAATGAGTACCACATTGAATGGAGTTACCAGAAATCCTGAATCTTCAGTTGAGAAAAATATTATATAACTCAGAGAATTCCAAAAAATAGACTGCCGAATTTAATCTTCAGAGTTAAAAATAAAGGTCACTCCAGACACCTAGGCTATGAAACAAAGTCAGCACATGCAGCACGAGATTTTGGAAAGAATGCTAACACAAAAATCAGTAGCTAAAAAAAAAAAAAAAAGTAAATTGATCCATTCAGAACATATTTAAATCCAGAGAGTCAGAAAGTAAACAGTGAGTTAAATGGCAGCAATGAACATTCAAATTTTAAGATGAAATGTTCACAGGAAAAAAAAGAAATGGAAACAGCAGTCCAATGAGATGGTCTACAAACACCTGAAGTATCTTTAAAAAAGAAAGAAAAAAAAAGAAAAAAAGGCCTGTAAAAGAGTTATTAACTGAAAGTGACCAGCAATATTAAACCAAGTGAACATTCTTTCAAAAAGAAATTCCAGGACAGGCAAGACTGAAGTACTCAGGGGAAAAAGCAGATTTTACCAGCTGACTGAGAGAATGTTAATTCTCTGCAGCTTAAATGAGTTGGTGAGATGAGCTGTACAGAAACTAGTTTAATGGGCATCATCTAAAACCCATAGTTTTACTACTTCCTTAAAAAGCAGAAGCTGGACCTCACTACCTTTTTGGCTTGTTACTTATTGTCATTTGCTGATGACACAAAACTAGGAAGAATGACATGCCAGAAGGCTGGGCTACCATCCAGCAAGGCCGAGACAGGCTGGTGAGTTGGGCAGGGAGAAACGTTGTCTCATTACAAGGGCAAGTGTAGAATCTTGCATCTGGGCAAGAACAACCCCAGCTACCAGTATAGGCTGGGGACTGACCTGCTGGAGTGCAGCACAGGGGAAAGGGACCTGGGGGTCCTTATGGACAGCAGGATGACCACGAGCCAGCACTGTGCCCTTGTGGCCAAGAAGGCCAATGGCACCCTGGGGTGTATTAGAAGGGGTGTGGTTAGTAGGTCCAGAGTTCTCCTTCCCCTTTACTCTGCCCTGGTGAGAACACATCTGGAGTATTGTATCAGCTCAGGACAGGGAACTGCTTGAGAGAATCCAGCACAGAGCCACAATGATTAAGGGCGTGGAGCATCTCCCTTATGAGGAGAGGCTGAGGGAGCTGGGTCTCTTCAGCTTGGAAGAGACCAAGGGGTGGCCTCATTAATGTTTATAAATATGTAAAGTTGAGTATCAGGAGGATGGAGCCAGGCTCTTCTCAGTGACATCCAGTGATGGGACAAGGGGTAACGGGTGCAAGCTGGAATCTAGGAGGATCCACAAAAATTTGAGAAAAACTTCACAGTGAGGATAACAGAACACTGGACCAGGCTTTCCAGAGAGGTTGTGGGGTCTCCTTCTCTGGAGACATTCAAAACCCACCTCAAGTTCTTGTGGGACCTAATCTAGGTGTTCCTGCTCTGGCAGGGGGATTGTAATCAAGGCTAATTTCAGACTGTTCACCCCTCTGCCACTAAGGCTGACAAAGCAAGATTTCCTTTAGAGTTTCAAGTTCTCCTTTGATGCCATGAGATGAAGCCGGGATGAAAAAATAAAAAGTATCTTCTCAATTCTGCATAGTTTTCTCTATCCAAGTTTGGCAGCAAGCTTCATGAAACTGTTTTAACTTAATAAGTAAAGGGGAGTGCCAGGTCAATATGCAAGGAAGTACATTCTGTACTCCAAGCTACAGAAAAGCACGAACTCGCACTGAAGGGTGAAAAGAAGCACGGAGTCCACAAGCAACACTAGCAGGCTCCGATGCTAGCAAAGATTCTGAAAGGCCAAGAATAACAAATCCATTAGCAGATCATTGGAGAAGAGGAGGTTCAGATGAGAACTTACTGCTCTCTACAACTACCTGAAGAGAGCTGTGGCAAAGAGAATCAGCCTCTTCTCCCAGGTAACTAGTGACAGGATTAGAGGGAATGGCTTCAAGTTGTGCCAGGGGACATTCAGGTTGGATCATCTTCTCTGAAAGAGGGGACAGACACTGGAACAGGCTGTCCAGGGAGGTGATGGAGTCACCATCTCTGGAGGTGCTCAAGAAATGTTTAAATGTTGTACTGAGGAAAGTGATATAGTGGAAAATATTGGTGATAGGTGGATGGTTGGACTGGATGATCTTGGAGATCTTTTTCAATCTTGGTGATTCCATGATTAGGCTGAGGAGAATGAAGCCTGTTGCAAGTCATTCCACTTGTCAGATCTTCCAGAGAATTCTGAGCTGCCAGAAAAAAATTCTGTAACTTGCATACTTTGTAGATTTTGCCATTTGGAGGAAAGTCAAATGTTTCACCAACTGATGAAAGACCATCAAGAGTGATCAAGAAAGAAAACATTAAAGCCTTAGATCTACAGTTTGAAGTTTGCTGCTGACATAAATGTAGATCTGTTAATTCAGGGAGAAACTAATTTATATTGCAGACTATAGCAAGACAAATCAAATTCAATATATCAGTGTGCAATATCATTTGAGACTAACGAAATCTTTTGCTTAGGGCCAAGACTCAATGAGAAGAATAGCCTGAGTGCTTTACTTTATTTTGAGAATCAGTTTACCAATATAAAGCAGCTAAGAAGGAAACGCAAGTAAAATTGTAGAATGAATCAACATAAATACTTTCGTGAAGGGAACAAAGAAGCATTACAACTATTTTTTAGGGCATCTGAAATATAATACAGGATTCTGGTCAATTCCAAACACTGCAGTATGTGTAGAGAATAGCTGACAAGAAAATAGAAGTAATTTGAAAAACATGAAACTAAAGATGTTACTTTGTTTAATGTAGTAAGGTGAAAGCTAGGTGAGATTTGATTGTACTCAAAAGAAACATACATGTGGGAAATACATGCAAGATTCCATCTTGCTCTCTAAACTGTTTATCTACAACAGCCATCATCATTAAAATACATACCTAGCATCTTCTTTTAAAAGGTCACTGTACTTTGGTCCAGAAGAACGAGTGTTAAAAGGGTCAGAATTATCATCTATTTCAAGAGCATCGGCAAGGCGCCTAAATTCAAGAGCATGAGAGAAAAAAAGCAAAAACATCACACACAAACAACAAAAAAAATCAACCTGAAACGTTTTTTCACTGAAGAGTAGAGATGAGTTACCAATACGAATAAACAACGTACAAAAGACCAGATTTTATATGTTTGATACTAATATTTAGGACTCTTCAATATACTGCACTATTAAATCTCAGATAGCTCAATACAGATCCCTATTGGTGGTGAATGTTGTAAAATCCAACTGGCAATTGATCACACTTGGTGCTCCCCAGCGTCAGTGGTAAGACCTGTCTTGTTTAGTATCTTTACTGATGACTTGGATGAGGGCACTGAGTGCACCCTCAGTAAGTTACAGATGACACCAAGTTGGAAGGAAGTGTCAATCTGCCCGTGGGTAGTAGGTAGGCACTTCAGAGTGATCTGGATAGACATTATCGAAGGGCTGAGACCAATGGGATGAAGTCCTGTACTTCAGCCACAACAACCCCACACAACATTACATGCTTAAAGCAGAGTGGCTGGAAGTCTGTGTGGAAGAAACAGACGTGGGGGTGTTGGTTGACACTCAGCTAAACATGAGCCAGCAGTGTGCCCATGTGACTAATGACATCCTGGCCTGTATCAGAAATAGCATAGCCAGCAGGACCACAGAGCTGATTGCAACCCCCTGTTCACATCTGGTGAGGCCACACCTTGAGCACTGAGTACTGTGTTCAGTTTTGGGCCCCTCACTACAAGAAAGACATTGAAGCCCTGGAATTAGTCCAGAGAAGGGCAACGAAACTGGTGAGGGGTCTGGAGCACAGGCCTTATGAGGAGCAGCTGAGGGAACTGGGATTGTTTAGTCTGGAGAAGAGGAGGTTCAGGGGAGACCTTATTCCTGTCTACAACTATACCTGAAGGGAGGTTGTGTTGAGGTGGTGTTTGGTCTCCTGTCTAGTGTAACTTGTGATATATACTAGAGGGAATGGCCTCAAGTTGCACCAGGGGAGATTCAGGCTGGATGTTAAGAAATACTTTTCCAACAGCGTCAGGCATTGGAACAGGCTGTCCAGGGAGGTGGTGGAGTCACTGACCCTGGAGGTGACCAAGGAACATTTAGACACTGAGTTGAGGGACATGGTTTATGAGACCTATTGGTGGATGGTTAGACTGGATGATCTTGTAGGTCTTTTCCAACCTTGGTGATTTTATAATTCTATATTAAAGCTTTCTATGATTCTAAGCCAGGGGAGGTTCAGGTTGGATATTAGGAAAAATGTCTTTTCTGAAAGAGTGGTCAGGCACTGGAACAGGTTTCCCAGGGAGGTGATTGAGTCACTGTCCCTGGAGGTGTTTAAGGAAAGGGTAGATGTAGTACTTAGGAACACTGTTTACTGCACAATATTAGTGATAGGCGGACAGTTGGATTAGACGATCTTGGAGGTCTTTTTCAACCTTAGTGATTCCATGATTCTGTTACACAAGAATCACCTCCACATTTATCAGTTCTGTAGGTCATACAGAAAATAATTTTTTTCCACACTGCACTGACCTATGAAATCTGGAGTTTTTTGGAAAAAGGCAAGTAAAGTTGTTGCCCACCTGTTCCTCTGAAGAGCTAAACATTCTTCATCGCATTGCAACCTGAATTAAGAAAAAAACAATTAGATTCACTAAAAATAAAGTAAGTCCTTTTAGTCATCCAGAAAAGAATGCTAAAAGCAATATGAGGAAATTCAGATGAACTCCCAAGAGTTTGTGGACCTCATGGACAAAAAGTTGAAGTTAGTAATGTGCCTTTGCAACAAGAAAAGCTTATGGTACTCTGAGTTGCATTAAACAAAATATCTTCAACACATCAATGGATGTGATCCCTCCCTTTCCTCAGCACTAGTGAGGCTAATCCTGGAGTACTGCGTCCAGTTCTGGGTTCCTCTGTACTAGGGATACTTCAGCATACCAAAGGGAGTCCAACAAAGGGCTAACTGAATGGGCTGCAGTACTCGTTCTGTGCTGAGAATGGCTGAGAGAACTGGGATTGTTCAGACTAGAGAAGACGCCTGACAAAGATCTTAACAATTTATCTAAATCCCTCAAGGGATGGTACAAAGAGAACAGACCCAGGCTCTTTTCAGTAGTGTCCAGAACCAAGACAGGAGACAATGGGCACATACTAAGACATAAGAAATTCCTTCTGAATATCAGGAAATACTAATTACGTGTATGTATATGTATGTATGTATATATATGTGTATGTATATATATATGTGTGTGTGTGTGTGTGTACACACACACACACATATATATGTACACACACACACAATATACATATTTATACTAATTACGTGTGTGTGTGCGTGTGCATGTGCATGCATATGTGTGTATATATATATACACATATACATATACACACACACACACGTGCAGGTGACTGGTACTGGTTGTCCAGAGCAGTTGAGCAGTGTCTGTCCTTAGTGCTCTGGCTCTTGCTCTGCTAGAGCAAGGAGTTGGGACTAGTTGACTTCCAGAAGTCCCTTCCAACCTCAATCATTCTGTGTCTGCTGAGAGAAACTCTGCAACCAATACAATGTTCAATATGTAATTATAACAAGAAGCTAAGGAATGATAGAGAGCTCATTCTACATTAAAGCAAAAAACAGATATAAAAATAGTAAAACATTCTAATAGCAGTATTAAAGTAGAGCTAGGTTATTAAAAGTCTTTTAACCAGGATTCTACTGATAATACTACGCATTTTCCAAGTCACCTATTCTTCATGTACTCGCAAGGATTTCATGTTTTTACATGCCTACCCTTACCTGGCCTGCTTCATTTCCTTTTTTGTAATAAGTCTACTGATTTCCACTGAATCTCCAAGCTGCAGATCCGTTAACTTAGTGGCTATAGATATAGCAGCTATTCTGCAAAAGAAGATTAGTTTTCATTAGATCTCGGAAATAGCATATAAAGCTCCACACTTAAATATCCAGATAGAAGGAAAAAAGCAGGCATGCTTCCTTGTAAGATCACAGAACCAAAATCTAGTTCCAAATCACCTAGCTTTAGAAGATTTATCTACTTACATAGATTACTTTGAAGTTTACCCAGAAAATATTGATGATACAAGCCAAAAGGAAAGAATGAAATGCCTACTGAAACTTAAAATTTTCTTATAAAACTTCATCATTCCCATTAGTAGCAAGCCTTTCTAGTCTAATTTTCTAGCTAAAATTTCTACAAATAAAATACACAGCACATTTTAAAGTGAAATATCCCATATGTCTCAAAATGCCACATCTAAAACTCTGTTGTCTGAACTGTCTTTCCTGATAATGCTCAGATAAAAGGATTAGTCTCCAAGCACTTCACATGACATTCTGAAAACAACTATTCACACATCAAGAAGGATCATCATATTACATTTAAAAAAGTAGCATGGAGACACACTACCAGTTTCAAATTTATCAGGCTGAGACAGAGAAACAGGCCATTAGATGATGGGACAACATCTATATCACGTATACAGACAGAGCTCCAGAGACCCTTTCCTGTTCCTCTGGGCACCCTTTGTGTGATATTAAATAGCTCTGAACTTGGTAAAACACTCCCAGTAACATTTTTGAGAAACCTGGACACACTATTAGCTCGGTGAACTCTCCACAGCAGTACCATGGGAGTAGTTTGGTTTTCTATTTATTTCTCAAAAATGAAGATGGTGGAAAAATTCAAACCTAACTCCCATAAAACCAGAGTATTTTAATGTTTTGGTGATCTGAACAGTTAGAGTTATATAAAATTAGCAAGCATTAAACACTGTTTTTGCTAACATCGCATGGTTAATTTGTTGGTAATATCAGTTAATTGAACATGTGTGAACCAAGAGATATAAACACTTTAAACTGAATGCTTTGCTTCCTTCCTATTGTCTTGGCTTATACATACACTCACTGACTTCACATGTACCATTTTTCCTGTATGACAATTTTTAGAGTGCCTGAGCCTCAGAAATAGTGGAAATACAACAGGCTTCAAAGACGTAAACTTGCAAGGTGGTTACCATCCAGGTTATCATTAATGACAAGCTCATGCCAATTCTAAATGATAATTCAATGTTGAGCCAATCTTTTGGCTTATATTAGTAGTGAAAAAAAAATCATAAAAAGCACACAATTCCTGTAAGTCTACTTACTATTGTTCTTTAATGCTTCTGATTAATGCATTTTCACAGTACTAAGGAACCTACTAAGTAGAGGCTAAGCCACCTTCTGAAGAATTTAAGTCTGGGCACTGATCAGTAAGAAAAGCAATACATCCTCAGCTGGGACAGTTCCTCAAATAACAGAGCTGAAAAAATCATTAGGAAGCTTTCTTCGAAAGACAAGAAATATCTACATCTGCTCTCTCCTATAAACTGGTAGGTAGAGCACAATTTTTGTGGCATTTCAACCTTCCAAATTATTATTTTTTGTTCTCCCTCTATCACAGAGTAAAAAGGAGTTATTATTGTCTCTATTTTTCTATTTCTATTGCATAACTTCCAAAATTCAACTTAATTCTTGTTTTCCTTGTCCCTTCTTTGCCCTCTGACATAAGATAAAAATAAGTGTAGTTCAGAAATAGGATTTAGAGACAAATTGATTGCAAAAAAAAAAAAAAAGGTAGGACTCAGCTTGCATATTGAAAACCAAGATATAGATATTAAGAACCAAAGCTCTCATTACAGTCAACGAAATCTAAAAAGTTATTCAACTACCTAAGTTTAGATGCCTATTTCAGCTTTATCATTCTTTAAATTCCATCATCTGTACTGACTAGGTTTGATCAGACATTAATGGGAATTTTAACATCAACTCACACATGGACTGTTAGATACCGTCACCTACGTTCAGATGTCTGAATTAGAATTCCACAGATGGGAAACCCAAGCTCTGACATGCCAAGACAGTTACAGACTGACAGCAAAAAGAGAAATGTGTTGCAGAACACCACAACTAATATGGAGGATCAGAGTAATAGGGAAAAAGAATCTGTAGGTGTAAGAATTAAAGAAGAGTGAAAAATTTCATGAAAGGAATATATTGCCAGTACTGAAATCCAATCAATCTGCAAAGATTCAGTAATAGTAGTAAAATAATTATTATAGTACAAACCTCTGATACGTATTAGATGCTTCTGAACAAATCATACTCTCCTTTCTTCTTCCACATTCACACTGAAGTTCAACCTGTTGCATTACACAAGACAGCAATTGGCTTAGACTTTTTTCTTTTTTTTTTTTTTTATTCAGGGAGAGAAACAAGAGAGGTAAATTGCACTTCCACTGGAATAGTGACTACTTTAATGATAAATAACTTTAAAAGGCAAAATAAACACGCTCCATCACATTACTCAATATTTTAAGTTTATATGATAGCATGAGACTTTTGATATTTAAAAAACATCACTTTTTGTCACTAATGTTTTTGGCTGGTAATTAAATCATACTACTTGTCAGTGAATTTGCAGTTAATTTTCGCTGAGCATCTAACCTTTGCACAGCAGGATGTTGTTGGGCAGGATGAAGAAGGATGACATGGAGCCATACAGGGATGATTACAATACAGTCTTGGAATAATACATGGCTGTTTACACTCTTCATCTATGAGACATTCCCCTTTATGACAGATTCTTTTACATTTGTGCATTCCACATTTTAACATTTGATTGCAGCGAAGTCCACAGGAAATGTCAGTGAGATGACAGGGAATATTGCTTCGCAGCTGAAAGAGGGGAGGAGAAAGACAACACAAAAGAAAATCAATAATTATAACAGCAAATCTCAAAGCACTTCTATTGTTAACTCCTTTGTTTGGCATTATCCACACAAGAAATGTAATACTAAAATACTTTGGACAAAGACAGTGTTCTTTATGTCACAGTCCATTAATATCAGTTAGTATGAACACACATGGCATAAAAGATAAGACTTTTCCTATTTAATCATATTAAATACCAACTCAAATAATATATTCCATTCCAAAGAAGCCGTGAAAATATAACTCAACAGTCTTAGAATCTGAAACACCACATGGTTATCCCTTAACTTACATAAACATAAAAGTACATCCAGAACATCAATAACTATTTTCAAGCTACACATTAATAAGAATACAAAACCATTAAGACTTACTTCATGTTTGCCCATACACCATTTCTGAGTGAGGTAGGTACAGGGTGGACACTTCTCCTCACTATGACATGAATGGTACACTGCAGCCATAGATTAAAAAACAGTTTTATTACCATACTTCAGCCAAATGCCTTAAAAGAGACATTATGGATTACTACATATGAGTTGGTCATTAGTACACAACTAATGGGAGGAAAGATGCTTCATGCAAGCATGATTTGTTCTTTAAAATAGTCTTTAAAAATTACAATGGCAGATTTTTAGGCGAATATTCTTCTGCATTTTCAAAAATAAATAGAGAATAGAAAACATTTGTAACTTCTGAGCAGGATTACACTATTAGATAGAATATAATAAAGTATATCTGTCCAACTTGTTACAGCACAGGCTTTTAGTCAGTGTGATTTCAAGGAACTCAGAAACTACTATTCACTACTGTTCACTAGATTATTCTACTCTTTCAATAGAGCATGCTATCTCTAATTAAATGAAACATTTAAAGCAGGCATGACCAACACATGGCCTGCAGGCTGCATGCAGCCCACTGCCCTCTGTAAAGGTGGAAGCTCTTCACCACAGGTGGCTCCAGGCACTCATTGCTCAACAACGACCAAACTAACAGTGCACAGATTTTCATGAGCTTGTGTGCAGGCTCTTGTTCATTGTTGGTGAAAACATGTAGCTAATGGTCGTGACTATGCTGAAAAACAGTATGACTTTTTTTTTTTATCATCCATAGTTTCCATGGAAATAAATAAGAGGCACTACTTCTGGAGAAACTCATGGATATGCAGCACAAGACAATTCCTCTTTACTCAGTGCGGCCCAGGCAAACCAAAAGGTTTGACACTCATGGTTTAATGTGTTGTGACTGTTAATGATGCCTGAACGTTGCTACCTGGATCAGAAAGAATACTGTGTTGTTTTATGAGCTAAAAGTGCCACTACAGTTATTCATAGCAAAATTTTAGTTAGTTTTGAAAATATTAAACCACTGCAAAAATAGCTAACAAAAGGGTAAATGTTTTTTTTTCAAACAGACCCATGTATGCTTTACTATGTTTTGAATTTTTTTTTTTTTTTTTTAAACTGAATAGCTTCACTTACCTGGATGATCACAGTCATGTGGCCTGGTGCATGTTTTTTTGCATTCTGGTGGCTGAGTGCCACAAGGAACAGGGGGGTAAATCACTGATTCCCCACAGTAACAAGTCAACTCATCAAAACCTGAAAAAGCAAGTCACAGGAGATGTAAATCTGTATTTGTACTTCTCTACTAAGAAAAATATTAAAAGAAAATGCAAATGTTATATTCTGGCATCTTTTTTTTTTTTAATATTAAGAACCACAATAGTGAAATCACCACCTCCTGTGCCTCCTACAAGATAACTGGACTACAGCCATTTCATAGCAAATATGCTTGCTTTTAGAGAGTGGTTCTTTGACAACATCTTAAACTGGAGCAGAAGTAATACTCTTGTAAAGCAGAAAGCTGTTCTTGTTCTGTCGTTGACTCAAAAACAGGAAGATATCTTGAATTCCCTTTCCAAAAGCACAGCATCCAAATTTTGCCTCTCACGCTCATTCAAAACCCTTCCTACAGCTTGTTTTCCTTCTTTACATATCTGACTCTATTCTGATTTGGAAGAAGCTAGTCCGCATTTCTTTCCAGCTCCTGCTAATTTTGAATTTTCATTCTTTTATCATTCTCTCGCGTGTGAACAGATTTCATCCTTCTGCCCAGACCAGCACATGATGCTGGGAAAATTTCAGAAAAAATTATCAAAAGGGCATCACTCTGTAGAATTTGACATAGAATCTCTTCCGTATACTTCACACCATTTAACGCTATATGGATCCTCTTAATCAGTTTATTTACTGATGTACCCAGAGCTTGGTACTGGGGTTATTCTATTTGACATTTTTATTAATGATCTTGATGAGGGGATTGAGGGCACTCTCAGTAAGTTTGCAGACAACACCAAGTTGGGAGGGAATGTTGATCTGCCAAAGGGTAGAAAGGCACCACAGAGGGACCTGGACAGAGTGGATTGATGGGCCAAGGCAAACTGGGGTGCATTAAAAGAAGCGTGGCCAGCAGGTCGAGGGAGGTGATCCTCCCCCTCTACTCTGCCCTGGTAAGGCCTCATCTGGAGTACTGTGTCCAGTTCTGGGCTCCCCAGTACAAAAAAGACAGGGATCTCTTGGAAAGAGTCCAGCGGAGAGCCACAAAGATGGTGAAGGGCCTGGAGCATCTCCCCTATGAGGAAAGGCTAAGTGAGCTGGGTCTGTTTAGCCTTGAGAAGAGAAGACTGAGAGGGGACCTGATCCAGGTCTATAAATATCTAAGGTGTGGGGGGCAAAGTGGCGAGGCCAGACTCTTTTCAGCAGTGTGCGGAGACAGGACAAGGGGAAATGGCCAGAAGCTGGAGCATAGGAAGTTCCGCACCAATGTGCGCAAGAACTTCTTTAGGTGAGGTGACGGAGCACTGGAACAGGCTGCCCAGGGAGGTGGTGGAGTCTCCTTCTCTGGAGATATTCAAGACCCGCCTGGACGCCTACCTGTGCGACCTGGTGTAGGGAGCCTGCTTTGGCAGGGGGTTGGACTCGATGATCTCTGGAGGTCCCTTCCAACCCCTACGATTCTGTGATTCTGTGATTCTGTGTATGAGTTTCAATAGGGCCAAGTGTTGGGTCCTGCATTTTGGTCACAACAACCCCAGGCAACCCTACAGGCTTAGGGAGGAGTGGCTGGAAAGCTGCCTGATGGAAAGGGACCTTGGTGTACTGATGGACAGTGGGCTGAATATGAGCCAGCAGTGTGCCCAGGTGGCCAAGAAGGCCAATGGCATCCTGGCTTGGATCAGGAATGGAGTGGTGAGCAGAACCAGGGAAGTCATCCTGCCCCTGGACTTGGCACTGGTGAGGCCTCACCTCGAGTGCTGCGTTCAGTTTTGGGCACCTCAGTACAGAAAGGACACGGAGGTGCTGGAGCAGGTCCAAAGAAGGGCAAGAAGGCTTGTGAAGCGCATGGAGAATATGGCCTATGGGGAGAGACTGAAGGAACTGGGGCTGTTTAGTCTGGGGAAGAGGAGGCTGAGGGGAGACGTTATTGCTCTCTTCCAATATCTGAAAGGTGATTACAGCCAGAGTGGGGCTGGTTTCTTCTCACTGGTGACAGGATGAGGAGAAATGGCTTTAAGTTGCACCAGGATAAGTTCAGGTTGGATATTAGGAAACACATCTTTTCACAAAGGGTTGTTAAGCACTGGAATAGGCTCCCCAGGGAGGTGGTTGAGTCACCATTCCTGGATGTATTTAAAAACTGTTTGGATGTGGTGCTCAGGGACATGATTTAGGGGAGGGTTGATAGAGTTAGGGTAGTATGGTTAGGTTGTGGTTGCAATTGATGATCTTGAAGATCTTTTCCAAACTAAGCAATTTTATGATTCTATAACCTTCACAGAAGGAGATTCCACAACCTCTCTGGGCAACTTGTTTCAGTGCTCTGTTTCTCTCACCATAAAAAAGTTCTTCTGCACAATAGTACAAAACTTCCTATGTTCAAGTTTTAGGCCATTACTCCTTGTCCCATCACTACACAACATGAAGAGCATGGCCTCATCCATTTGCCTCCCACCTTCCTTTAAACATTTACAAACATTTATCAAATCCCCTCTCAGTATTCTTTTTCTCTGGCTGAACGTGCTCAGGTTACTCAGCCTTTCCTCATACAGGAGATGCTCCAGGCCCTTAATCATCTCTGTGGTCCCCCACTAGACTCTTTCTAGGAGATCTCCGTCTTTCTTTGAACTGGGGAGCCCAGAACTGGACACTGTAGTCTGAATGTGGCTTCACCATGACAAAGTAGAGAGGAAGGAGAATCTCCCTCAACCTGCTGCCCACACGTTTTTTTAATGGGCCCTAGGATACCATTGGCCTTCCTGGCCACAAGGGCACACAGCTGGCTCATGGCCAATCTGGTGTTCACTAGGTCCCCCAGATCTATCTCTGCAGAACTCCTCTCCAGCAGGTCATCCCCTAACCTGTACTGATGCACGTGGTTATTCTTCTGGAATAATTCTGAGGTCTTTCCCTGCTGCTTCCTAGAGTGACAATGTTCCCTGACTCTTCATCATTCAGAAATACATCCCCTTCCCTCCCTGAATCTAGTTCAAAGCTTGCTAATAAGTCCAGCCAGCCTGCTGCCCAGAACACTCTTGCCGCACCTGGTCTCTCATGTCACACAATGTCAACATGCTTGATCTCACAAAGATGAGATCTGATCCCACAGAACCCCAAACTCAGAGTGTGGTATCAGCTCCACAGCCAATCATTCACATTATCTTTTCTCCTCCTTCCTGAATTCCCACCTTGAACTGGGAGGAGAAAGGAGAACACTACCTGCGCTTCTGATCCATTCAACATCTTTCCAAGGGTCACCAAGTCTCTTTTGACTACCTGTTTGTTCTGCCTTCACTAGACTACTGAAAATTACTGAAATAACTGAAAGTTACTGAAATGACCTGTGCAATTTTCTGGTTAATATTTTGCTTTTTTAAAAGAAAATGTTTGGACACATTAGGATTTGTTTTCTAAAGAAAGGTCCTACCAGCATGCACTCTGAAATACAGAAGCATTCTTCTTTCCATTTCAGGCCAAGATCAGAAAGCTTAGTATTCACTATTATAAAGGTGTGAAATAATAAACACATGGTTTCCTACAGCAAGTGGAGAGAAGCAGTTGTGAAAAACTAGCATCTTAATCTGACAGAGATTTTAACAGAGTACATACTCATATAAAGCTACTGCACCAGCTCAGATCTGTAGCTTAGTAGTTCATAATAAAATAGTACCTCATGGTTATCAATCTATCTGAAGCAATTCTTTAGTAGTTCCACCATCTAGGACACGATCAAAAAGCCTATGATACACAACTGACATCTACTTCCACAGACTGTCCGTCTAGAGAAAAATCACTAGCACGCCAACATGGGAAGGTCCAATTTTTAAATACCTAAACAGATTCTGCTATATATTCCAGTACCCATAAAATTTACTAACTTATCAACAGAAGAGTTCCATCAATTTTGAAATTCTAAAATGGAATAACTTTCTTTTCCACTATAGAAAACAAAACAATGAGAGCAGATTACAGATCTTCAGGTTCTGATCAAATTCTACATCCTACTCTGATCAATTAAAGTGAATACATTTCTAAAACATGTAAGAAAAAAAGCATTACTGTACGCACTTGTTTGCCAGCAGGTTTGACAACTGCCCCGGTGACAAGGCTCTTCACATCTATGAAGTCCACAGTTGAGTTTGCGACCACAAACCAAAGAACACTTATGTTCTGTGTCCTGTGGGAAGGCACAAAAGAAAAGCAAAATTAAACTATAAAATCAACAGGTTTCTTTCTTCTGTGAAGTCATAACCCAGCAACTGCAAAACCACTAGGAAGAAATAAGAAGTTATTTTAATGGTCAACTCTCTCCTTCAGGTGACAAAGACAAGGATCTGTCAAGGTAGATCCACTAGTTAGGATCGTGAATCTCGTATTATAGAATGGCTTAGGTTGGAAGGGACCTCAAAGGCCATCTAGCCCTAACCCCTTGCCACGGGCAGGGCTGCCAACTGCTAGATCAAGCACCAGAATAGGTCCCATGGACCCAGCCAGCCTGTCCTCAAGCACCTCTGAGGGCAGGGCATCTACAACCTCGCTGGGCACCTTGTTCCAGCACCTCAACACCTTCCCCAACATTTAACCTAAATCTCCCTTCCTTTAGTTTAAAACCATTTCCCCATGTCCTATCATTATCTACCTGTGAAAAAAGTTGATTTCCTTCCTATTTATAACATCCCTTTAAATCCTGGAAGGTTGAAATGAGGTCTTCTCAGAGCCTTCTCTTCTCCAGATTGAACAAACCAAGCTCCCTCAGCCTGTCTTCTCAGGAGAGATGCTCCAGCCCTCAGATCATTTTCATGGCCCATCTCTGGACCCTCTACACAAGCTCTACATCTTTCCTGTGCTGAGAGCCCCAGACCTAGACGCACTACCCCAGGTGGGGCCTCATGAGGAATAGAGTAGAAAGCAACAACCACTTCCCTTGCCAAGACGAGCTTCTTTTGATGATGCCCAGGATACAGTTGGCCTTTTGGGCTGCGAGTAGTACATAATAAGTTTCTCATCGAGCAGAACCCCTAAGTCCTCTCCACAAGGCTACTCAAAGATTCTTCTCAGTCTGTATGCAAAATCTGGGATTGCCCAGACCCACGTGCAGCACTTTGCACTTGGTTTTGATGAACCTCATTACACTGAGCCCACCATTCAAGTTTGTTAAGGTCCCTTTAGATGTCACCTCTTCCTTCTGTTGTACCAAGCATGACATTCATCACAGTGTCATCAGCAAACTTGTTGAGGGTGCAGTCAATCCCATTATCTATAGCATTGATAAAGATGATAAGGAATACCAATCTGAAGACAGACCCCTGAGGGATCTACTCATTACCAGCCTCCACCTGAACATATAGCCATTTACCACAACCTCTGGCTGCAACCTTTCAACCGGTTCCTTATCCGCCAAATAGTCCACCCTTCAAATCCACATCACTCCTATTTAAAGACAAGGATATGGTATGGGACCTCAAAGATCATCTAGTTTCAACCCCCTACTATGTGCAGGGTTGCCAACCAGCAGACCGGGCTGCCCAGAGCCACATCCAGCCTGGCCTTGAATGCCTGCAGGGATGGGGCATCCACAGCCTCCTTGGGCAACCTGTGAACAGTGCCTCACCACCCTCTGGGTGAAAAACTTCCTCCTCATATCCAACCTAAACCTCCCCTGTCTCACTTTAAAACCATTCCCCCTTGTCCTATCACTATCCACCCTCATAAACAGCCGCTCCCCCTCCTGTTTATACGCTCCCTCCAAGCACTGGAAGGCCACAACGAGGTCTCCCTGGAGCCTTCTCTTCTCCAAGCTAAACAAGCCCAGTTCCCTCAGCCTTTCCTCACAGGAGA